CTATGTTCGTTTAAGGCATTGAAGAAACCGACGTAATATGGCGTGGCGTTACCGAATTAACCACCGTTGTAGCTCAAATTTGAAATTGGTTTTGTGCTTGAGTCATTAGAAACGAATTCGCCATGGCTGCAACAACGTTTAATTTCGTAGTGCCACACCAAGATACGTTCATTCCTACGATGCCTCAAACTTAAAGAGACTAAAGATCTCATAAACGGATTTCGTTTCTTCAAAATCATCACAGCCATAAGATCATACACAGGCCCACGTGAATGGCTACATTTCAGGTAATTTAAGAAACCAAATCGCAATGGAGTCTACAATGGTGCTTAATTGCGTAAGACCGCGCCATATTACATTGGTTTCTTAAATTGCCTGAAATGAACAAAGCCTGAAAATCAGAGAAACATATTTCATTACTTCAAAATCATCATATGCCATAAAATATTTACCCATACCAAAACGAAGTTTAGCCGTTTGAGGCAATGAAAGAAACCAAATCGCCAGGGCCGCTTCAACGGTGGTTAATTCCGTAACGCCACGCCAAGTTGCAATCAATGCTTCAATGCCTCAAACTGTAAAAACCTGAAAATCAAAGTAATTAATTTCATAAATTCAAAATCTGAACACCCGTGATTTCTTATACACACCCACACAAAATTGAAACACTTGAGGCAATATAAGAAACCAAATTGCCATGGCTGGTATAATGGTGCTAAGTAAGGTAACGCAACGCCAAGTTAGGTTCAGTTTCTTCACTGCCTCAAACAAACAAAGCCTAAAAATCACTGTAACAGAATTGGGAAGCCTAAATTTCAGGGCCAAAAACCGTTTTAGCTCAGATTTAAAATCCAGTTTTGGGCTTGAGTCATATAAAAAATGAACTCGCCATGGCTGCAACGGCGGTTAAATCCGTAATGCCATAAAATATTTACCCATACCAAAACGAAGTTTAGCCGTTTGAGGCAATGAAAGAAACCAAATCGCCAGGGCCGCTTCAACGGTGGTTAATTCCGTAACGCCACGCCAAGTTGCAATCAATTCTTCAATGCCTCAAACTGTAAAAACCTGAAAATCAAAGTAATTAATTTCATAAATTCAAATTCTGAACACCCGTGATTTCTTATACACACCCACACAAAATTGATACACTTGAGGCAATCTAAGAAACCAAATTGCCATGGCTAGTATAATGGTGGTTAGTAAGGTAACCCAACGCCAAGTTACGTTTACTTTCTTCACTGCCTCAAACAAACAAAGCCTAAAAATCACTGTAACAGAATTGGGAAGCCTAAATATCAGGGCCAAAAACCGTTTTAGCTCAGATTTAAAATCCAGTTTTGGGCTTGAGTCATATAAAAAATGAACTCGCCATGGCTGCAACGGCGGTTAAATCCGTAATGCCACGCCAAGATACGTTTGTCTCTTATATGAACAAAGGCTAAAAATCTCATAAACGGATTTCGTTTCTTCAAAATCATCACAGCCATAAACTCATTCACACCGGAGTAAAATGGATACATTTCAGGCAATGTTCGTTTGAGGCATTGAAGAAACCGACGTAATATGGCGTGGGGTTAGCGAATTAACCACCGTTGTAGCTCATATTTGAAATTGGTTTTGTGCTTGAGTCATTAGAAATGAATTCGCCATGGGTGCAACAACGTTTAATTTCGTAGTGCCACACCAAGATACGTTCATTCCTACGATGCCTCAAACTTAAAGAGACTAAAGATCTCATAAACAGATTTCGTTTCTTCAAAATCATCAAAGCCATAAACTCATACACAGACCCACGTGAATGGCTACATTTCGGGAAATTTAAGAAACCAAATCGCAATAAAGTCTACAATGGTGCTTAATTGCGCAACACCGCGCCATATTACATTGGTTTCTTAAATTGCCTGAAATGAACAAAGCCTGAAAATCAGAGAAACATATTTCATTACTTCAAAATCATCATATGCCATAAAATTTTTACTCACACCAGCACGAAATTTAGGCATTTGAGGCAGCGAAAGAAACCAAATCGCCATGGCTGCTTCAACGGTGGTTAATTCCGTAATGCCACAGCAAGTTGCATTCAATTCTTCAATGCCTCAAACTGTAAAAACCTGAAAATCAAAGTAATTAATTTCATAAATTCAAAATCTGAACCCCCGTGAATTTTTATACACACCCACACAAAATTTATGCACTTGAGGCAATCTAAGAAACCAAATTGCCATGGCTGGTATAATGGTGGTTAGTAAGGTAACCCAATGCCTAAAAATCACTGTAACAGAATTGGGAAGCATAAAAATAAGAACCAAAATTCGTTTTAGCTCAGAATTGAAATCCAGTGTTGTGCTTGAGTCATATCAAAAACGAATTCGCCATGGCTGCAACAGCGGTTGAATCCGTAATGCCACGCCAAGATACGTTTGTTTCTTATATGAACAAAGGCTAAAAATCTCAGAAACAGATTTCCTTTCTTCAAAATCATCACACCCATAAACTCATTCACACTGGAGTAAAATGGATACATTTCAGGCTATGTTCGTTTGAGGCATTGAAGAAACCGACGTAACATGGCGTGGCGGAGCAGAGGAGTCTAGCTAAACTCCCCACTATTTCGCCGTAAAAGATGGAGGCCACTCCCCCCCTTCTCGCCGCTGCTACCCTCGTCGCTGGTGGAGATCACCACCACCACCCCTGTGTCTGATCGGAAATTCTCCGCCAAAGATGGAGGTCGCCCCCCGCTGACCAATTGTTTCCGTCGACTGGCCTCGCGACATCGCCCTTCCCCGTCACTGCTGTACTTCTCCGCAACGGAGGGAGTCGCCGGAGGCTGCTGCCCTCATCCAATTCGTTGCCTCTGTCCGTGTTTCTTGTGTCATCGTTGGTCGCATATGCAAAGGGGGCCGTCGGCGATGTCGTGGTGGCGGGGGACGGTGATAGGAGTTTGTTGGAGAAGGAGGGTCTAGTGGCGGCGTGTCTCGATCGGGAAAGGAGGAGGCCCAAAACTAATGCGTGTAAAGAGTATATATATGCCTAGGGTTTTGCTCTCCTTAATTTAAAATAATGTGTCTGAATAAAACACACTTTTTGGGCCAACTTGCTTCGAATTGAGATCTGTTTGCATCGTCGTTGGATTTGATTCGTCGATCCCTACCCAACAATATAACTTTTATAATCATTCAACAAGCATATATAGGTTCCACCTAGTACTTAATTCTTTCGATTAGTTAGTACCAATCAGTCTTTTACTTTAAATCTTTATAAATACAATCAAATTAGTTACATTATATTGAGACGATTAGGATCTCTAAAATATCTTTTAATTCTTTAAAAGAATAGACTGTCGTAAATAAATAATTCTTATTTATTTAATTATTCATTAATTTCTATACCGGTTTCTAGAACGTTACAAATTTATCAAGAATCGGATTTAGTTAGGCGTGAATAGTCTCACGATTTGGTTGGGCGTGAATAGAAATTTTACTTTTAAGTTTTTTAAGTTTTTTTACTTTTTTATTTTTTGTTGTTCTATTTTTTTTGTTTTTCTTTCTTTCATCTAGTTAAGATCAGATCAAATCTTTAAAATAAAACAATTTAATTATATAGGTCGTGTCTTGTTTGCCGGATTTAATCTATAAATGCATAAGATCATATCAAATTAGATTGAATTCAAATTAAATTCAAATCCAATAAGATCAGATATAATCTTCAAAAAAATCGAATCAAATCAAATTCAAATCTAGTAAGATCAGATCAAATATTAAAAAAATCAATTTTAATTGTATAGGTCGTGTCATATCTGCTTTATCTAATCCTTAAACGCATCATATCAAATCTAATTAGATTGAATAAGACCAAAATAGATCTAATCAGATCAAATCAAATTCAAATATATTAAGATCAGATCAAATCTTCAAAATAAAACAATTTAATTATATAGGTCGTGTCTTGTTTGCAAGATTTAATATATGAATGCATAAAATCAGATCAAATTAGATTGAATTCAAATTAAATTCAAATCCAATAAGATCAAATATAATCTTCAAAAAAAATATCTGAACAAGGTAAATGCACAGATCCAATTCTTCTAAATGCTCATATTTTTGATCGTATAAGATCGATCTTACAAGTATTGATAACTGAACTTGTTACTCACACTGATCCAATTCCTTAGGATATTCATACTTTTCACCGTATAAGATCTTACTGGTACTGACTAAACTGGTTACTTGCACAGATCTAATTCTTCTAAATACTCATATTTTTGGCCATATAAGATCTTACTCAGTTACCGGTACTTATAATAATAAGGTAATTGCGCAGATCCAATTCTTCTAAATACGTATACTTTTGAGCTTATAAGATTTTAGAAGTAGTGATAACTGAACTTGTTACTCACATTGATCCAATTTCTTAGGATACTCATACTTTTGACCGTATAAGATCTTACTAGTATTGATAACTGAACTGGTTACTTGCACAGATCCAATTCTTCTAAATACTCATATTTTTGGTCATGTAAGATCTTATTTTAGATCTCTCCAAACAACTTTTTTTAACATTTCAAAACTCATACTTTCTCCGTCCCAAAAAGAATTTCTTACTTTGATTAACGTGTAAAACCTCGTGGTTTTTAAAATCATATTTTTTGCAAATTGGTAAAGAAATAACACATAAAAATATTTAAAAACTACATCGAAAACTCTACAAAATAAGATATGACAAGAGTATTTTATTTTATCAAATGATCAACAACCTTACATATAATTGCACTTAGATCAGATCAAATCAGACTAGATCTTAACATATTAGATCAGACAAGATCAGATCAAATAAGATATCATCAAATTACATTAAATCGTTGTTGGAAGAAACTGGAAGTACATCTCTGTAGTATTTGTTTCTGATATAGGCCGAGTCATACAGTTTAGCGTCAAAAATACCATCTCTGTAGTATTTGTTTCTGATATAGGTTGCCCAAAGAGAGTCTCCTGTGATTGATTTCCACCAAAGCTTTAGAGCTGATGCTTTTTGGATATCATCTAGACTCCTAATACCCAGCCCTCCTTGTAACACCCTAATCCGTCCAGGTCTGCAGCCCCTTTCGGACTAAAGTATTAACTTGGTAATCGTGAAAATTTAAAACATTTCAAACACTTTTATTTATCATAATAATATTTTTTTATAATATAAATAGTACGGAGTTTTCAATATTGCGGAAGCTTTACCAAATCATAATTACAACATAATTTATTATGTTCTTTAATTCAAAACCATCACATCCATTCCGACAATCTCGCCTCCGTCTGCCTCCAAGATCACGTCACTTCATCCTTTCTATTAACCTGCGTGTAGCAAATAAAACATACTACACGCTCAGCGGTAAAGCTGAGTAAGCATATCTAATGCGTCGAACATCCATATAAATTGAATCTAAATTCATATTCAATTCATTTGATATCATGCACACGATGTTCATTTCAGACATTCACAGTTTTGATAATGTTCAGTTCATTTCAAACACATTTTATTCAATTCAGATATTATTTCGATAGTGCCCTTAAATTATTCTTAATCTAAGGCCAAATAATAACAATGCTCTTAGCTATTCTTAGTCTAAGGCCAGATCATAATAATGCTCTTAAAAAGGCAATTAATTATCACACTTAAACTATCATTAGTTTAAGGCAATTGATTTCGGACACTTAACTATAGTCAGTTAAGGCAATCAGACACTTAAACTATCACTAGTTTAAGGCAAATGATTCAGACACTTAACTGTAGTCAGTTAAGGCAACAACAACAATATAGCAATTGATCAACATTGGATCGGGCATTCCCTAACGAGTAATCCTCTAGCTTGGTCTACGAATCCCGTTTATATGTTTTTATCTAATTCATCGAATATTCATGTTTCACAAATCCATACTAATATGAGATCTATTCTAGAGGTCTTCTAGATAACCTTAACATCAATTCTCTAAATGTGTATATCTTAGAGTTCCTCTAGATACTTT